CTTAAAAACCTCCAGTGATGGAGCGCCCACGATTTCTGGAGGCCAGCTGTTCCACTGGTTAATTGTCTTCACTGTCAGGAAGTTTCTCCTCATCTGGGACTCCTAAACATCTTCCAGAGGTTGGTTGGCTGTCCACCAGCGACAGTGTCTCCTGTCCAGAGCGGAGGGCCCAAGGATTCTCTGTCTGCCTGGGCACATGGAGAGACTTTGGTTGTGAAATTTCACCTTGGGAATTCGTGTCTTGTAGCCGTTTAAGGGTGAACAAGAGGAGACAGAGCGTCAAACTCTTGTGAGATTAAGTACAGGGATAATCCCGAGGAATGCAGAGTATGTGGGATCCTTGCTGCTCCCGGAGCTTGTAAATGTTTCATGACCCAGTTAGGTAACATAATCAGGGCTCAAAGGGAGTGGGGTTTCATGGGAGGAGGAGGAGGAGGAGGAGGAGGAGGAGGAAAAAAAGGACTGTGTGGTCCTTGCTGTTCTCTGAGCTTGATGGTTTCCTTGCAGACATTTCATGACCCAACTAGGGAACATCATCAGTGCTAGAAGGGAGAGAGGTGTGCAGGGAGGAGGAGGAGGACTGTGGGGTCCCTGGTGCTCTCTGAGCTGCGTGGTTTTCTTGCAGACATCTCATGATCCAACTAGGGAACATCATCAGTGCTAGGAGGGAGCAGGGGTGTGTGTGTTGTGGAGCAGAGGGAGGAGGAGGAGGACTGTGGGGTCAATGGTGATCTCTGAGCTTGGTGATTTTCTTGTAGTCTTTTCATGACCCAGCTAGGTAACGTCAGTGCCAGAAGGGAGTAGGGTTTATAGAGAGGAGGAGGAGGAGGAGGAGGAGGAGGAGGAGGACAATTTTGGCCCCCTCAGATCGGGTCCGCAACTTGGGTGTTCTCCTGGATTCACGGTTGACATTGGACGACCAGTTGTCGGCCGTGACCAGGGGGGCGTTTTATCAGGTTCGCCTGATTCGCCAGTTGCGGCCGTTTCTGGACCGGGACGCCCTACGCACGGTCACTCATGCCCTTGTCACTTCCCGCCTGGACTACTGCAATGCTCTCTACATGGGGCTTCCCTTGAGGAGCACCCGGAGGCTCCAGTTGGTCCAAAATGCGGCCGCGCGGGCGGTGTTGGGAGGGACTCGTCACTCCCACGTTACGCCGCTTCTGCGCGAGCTGCATTGGCTACCGGTGGCCTTCCGGGTGCGCTTCAAGGTGATGGTTATTATCT